CGTCGGCTCCGCTCGAACGCTCAGGCCATCAATCGGCAATCCGTCGGCCGCCCCGAGCCCAGCACTACAAACCAGTCGACAGCCTTAATGTCCTTGATCTGCTTTTTGAGGAGTTTGGGTATGGTGTTGTACTCCAGCCTTCTATATCGTACTGTTGTACAATCTCCTCATCTTTGACGTCACTCCACTTATCTTCATCATCACCGTTGTTGTACAAGCCGTCAAAGCCAGCTCGTCTCCACGAACGTACAAGCTGAAGGGCAGCAAGTAACTCGCTGCCAAGAGCTCGCCGGCGCGGCTCAAGTAAATCGCCAAGCTCGCTAAAGAGCCTCTCGCAGTCGCAACTAGATGCTGGTATCGTGAGTATATCAATCGCAAACTGGCTTAAACACGGGTATTTTGAGCGTAATTGAATCCAGTACTTGACTGGGTGGCCATCGCTAAGATACTGTTCGCTTGTCCACTCTGGCTCTTGAGTTCTCCAGCGCTCGTACTCATCGTCGTGGGCAGCCTCTACCTGAGCCTTGTTGCGCCGTACGAGGGCGCCAATCACATCATCTATTCCTCTATGCCTTGGTTTTGCAGTTGTTTGAGATAGAGGACGTGTACGTTGAGGCTTATACGACTGCCAGAGCTGCAGGAAGCCAGCGTTGGCTGATGTTAGCCATTCTGGCTTATCCACCCAGCTGTTCTCGCAGTAGTATTTGTAGTATGGATGGAGGCAGGTAGCAGCGTAGTATGCTGGCGATCGATCGAGCTTGTTGTAGTAATCGTTGGCCTTACTCCAGGCGGCGCGGAGGTTAACAAAGAGGTGATCTTCAGGCGCATCAGGTGGGTTGAAGTCAACTTGCTCGTACGAGCGCGTACGGGCTTCGAGCGCGCCAAGTACGTATTCAAATACAGGAATAGTCTCATATATAGCGCCGTATTTGCCTGCCTTTCCGCGACCCTCAAGCTTCTCCGTAGCAAGCTTAAGCGGCTCTAGGCAGTCCTGATACTCTGTTATCACCGCCCAATCAGCAGCTGTAAGTCCTGTTGATCTCATCCAACTAGGTGCTTCAGGGAGTTTATTGCCACGTTGACAAGCGCGGCGATCTTCAAGGGAGAGTGCGTTAATGTAGTGCTCAGCGTAAGAGTTGTATGCTGCCTGGAGTTGAGTTGCGCGTTTGAAGGCAGCGTAGTAAGAGTTCCAGCGTGTAACAACAGGCTTCACAGGCTCAAGTACGTGGAGGCGCTCTCTAGCTGGCAACTCGGCGTTGGCGGCGGTTTGGAAGCTTCGGAAAATTTCGTGTTGTTGAGGCGTTTTTATATGGTTGATAACGTCGATAAGTACACCTAAGGGCCCTTCTTGACGCCACTCCTGCATGTACACCTCCTCTGTTTGGAGCTGCTCGTCGTTGTTGTTGTTGTACGCCTCTTGATTGCTGCCAAAGATAATTGCCTGGCCAATAAGGTTAAGCGTGTGAGGGCCGCAGCGGAGGCGTCGGTGAG